GGCCAGGCTCCCGCCCTGCGAACCAGAGGCCAACGGGGCCCTGGTACTGGTGGCGACCCCTGCCCGGGACTCAGCTGTCGCCCCCGCGTCCTGGGGGTCTCCGCGAGCCAGTGGGAGGTGTCGTCGCGGTCCCCTGCGGCCGGCCCCCTGGCCCATGAGTCTCCCTGGCAGTGCCCGCGCGGCCCGGAAGTAAGACGCCTGGTCTGGGCCGGGTTCCCGGGCCTGGCATTGCCCGCACTCAGGCCCCAGGGCCCGCCTAGCCGCGCAACCCGAGAGGCGTCTGGGTCACAGCGGCAATCGCCGCTAGTGTCCCCTGCCGGACACTGTCCTAAATGCTGCACTTGAAAAACCGCCGCTGGGCCCTGGGCTGTCCTCGGCACCCAGTGGACAGAGGGGGCAGCTGCGGGGTCGCAGTCGGGGCTTCCACAGCCTTGGAAGGGAACCCAATTTCATTACTGGAAAGCTATTTAACACTTACAGTTAAAAAGGTAATTGAGGGACCTGCAGGTGGCATGATGGTGAAGGCCCTGGATTCCCCCCTGGGTGCACAGGGTTCAAGTCCTGGCCCTGGTGGCTTGGTTTCTCACTCTCTCTCTCTCTCTGTCTCTCTGGTCTAAGTGACAAATAATAATAAATATAGTTAGATAAATAATTCTTTAAATTTCTTTTTTTTTTTTTGAGAGGTTTTTGCTATAGGGCACATGCGCTTGCCAGGCAGACAGAAAGAGAGAGACAGAAAGCAAGAAATCACCCTCCAGGGGGGATGGCCACGCCGCAATCCCTTCTCCTCCATTCTCCTCTCAGGATCTTGGGCACACACGTACACGCGCCCAGGGTGAGTTTTAAGCCACTGGGTCCAGGACATGAACTGCAATTGACTACGTGGGAGTCCAGCGACATAGCCATTACGCTAACTGCTGGTCCCAGAAAATAATTCTAAATAATAATAATAAATAGCGGCACCAGCAGGTGGCGTGGTGGTTAAGCTGGACTTCCATATGTCCCACCGCAGTTCCAGTCCCAAGCCCAGAGCCTTGAAAATCTCTCTGGGTGCTTGTCCGCCTATGCCCAGAATCCGGAGAAGAGAATGGGGGGTGACCTTTCACTTTTCCTCTCGGTCTCTCTCTAGCAAGCTCACACAGCCCCTGGCAAAAACCTTAGAAAAAAGATAAGTTGAAATACACGCGTAAGCTCCCACGTTAGGCTGGGGTACCTTTCCAAGGGGTGAAGTCGGGCCTGGCCTGCGAGTGCGGAGTCTAGCCATGTGTGAGCAACACGGTGCCGGCCACGGGGCAGCACCCGGGCACCACCAGAGCCGCTGCCGCCCAGCGTGCAGCCACACCCCGCCAGAGAGTCGAGGTGCGTGGCAGGGATCTGGGCACAGGCAGAGACCTCCGGGGGCAGGGCGGCCCGGAGGACACAGGACGGCCGGGTCAGCCACTGCCTCCTCTGGAAGTGGAGCCCTGAGGCCACCTCGCAGGACAGCAGGTGGAACAGCTCTTCCGGACTTAGAGCCCAGACGGATGCACAGAGCCCCGGACTAGCCCTGGGGGCAGGCACCTGCCTGCTCTGGAGCTTGGGGTCCCTCCTGAGGCAAGGCCCGTACCCTTGGCACTGCCTGTCCCTGTCATGTCACACCCTCCTGCGGTTGGCAAGGGCCCTGAGCGCCAAGGCCTTTCCTGTGTCCCTCCTGCAGAGACTCCCTGGGGGCTGCCCGTGGTGGCTGACAGCCCGGCCTCCTTTGCACATGAGGTGATGGCACAGCTGGCCAGCCTGAAGCTGGAGCACAAGCCGTGGCCTGGAGGTAAGCCCCTGCCTGCTGCTGCATGAGGGGAGGAGGCCGCGACCACGGTCGGGATCCGGTCGGGATCCGGCGGGCCGTCTAGGGGACCGGCCTTTTGCCCGTAGGGGGCACGCAGAGGCCAGGGCCTCGGGAAGGAGCCTGGGGCCGGCCCCTCACTCGGACACCCCCACTCTGCTTGAGGCCTCCCCTTCCCATGCCTGCCTCTCCCTCGGAACAGGGGGGGCGTGAGGGGAAGGCCTTCCCTGTGTGGGTCCTGGCCCCCACGGTAGTGGCTCATTGCTCACCGGGCCGTGGAGCTGCCCATCAGTGCCCGCCTTGGAGGTGAGGGAAGGAGGCTGGAGCTGTGAGGCGACCTCCAGGCCACACCGCAACAGGGCAGCCGGGCGGTGCCGCGTGGACGTGGGGAGGGGCCGGTGCGAAACCGTCTCTCGGAAGAGTCTGAGGAAGGGCCTGGCATTTGCGTGTTCACTGCAGTCCGAGGGAGGGGAAGCTGTACTGGCGTGGACCTGCTCCTTGTTGGGCTGGCCGTGCGGTCCAGTGACCAGGAAGGGGGATGTGGAGCTGATGTCGTGGAGCGGCCCGGGGGCAGCACTGGCACGTGACCTGCTCCTCGGCGATGTCCTGGCAGGAGCAGATGCCCCTGGACTCCTGCCACATGGTCCCCACTTCTTCCTGCCTTGTGGCCACAGCCCGTGGCAGTGACCCCAGCAGGCAGGTGGCCCTGCCAAGTCCGGATGGCAGACTGACCATTGCTGCCCTGGCTTCTTTAGCCCCATCTGGACGGCTGGGCTGTCCTTGGCACCGTAGACGCTCCCCCGGAACGTCGGCCTGTCCTGGAGGGGACAGGAAGTGGACAGTGGACAGGAAGCTCGGGGAGTCCTCACTGTGATACCCAGAGGGGCTGCTGCTCTAATCGAGGACCAGGTGGTTTAGGAGTAGTGCTTTCAAAATCATTGATATTTTGGGACCAGCAATTGGCATAATGGCTATGTCGCTGGACTCCCACGTAATCAACTGCGGTTGGAGTCCCAAACCCAGCAGCTTAAACTCAGGCCGGGCGCGTGTGCGTGTGTGCCCAAGATCCCGATAGGAGAATGGAGGAGAAGGGACTGCTGCGTGGTCATCTCCCTGGAGGGTTTTTGCTTTCTGTCTCTCTGTCTCTCTCTGCCTTTTGGGCAAGTGCACGTGCCCTGTAGCAAAAACCTCTCCAAAAAAAAAAAAAAAGTCACTGATATCTTTTAGTCTAATCTTTTTAGTACCTTTGAAGTGTAAGATGAAGTTTCCCTCCTGAAATTTGTCTTGACTGTGTCAAGGTTATTAAAGAAACAGTATCACGATTCACAATGAAACGTTTTTGTGTTGTTATTGAAAGACTCTTTATGGACAATATCAAACATGTACAAAAACAGAATGTTCATAATATGACAACCCATTTCACACCCCCTAAGCACACGCATGCACACACTCGCACACATACACGCATGCACACTCACTCCTCTCCAGCTTCACCACTCAGCCCAGCACTGGCCTTATTTTCTGCATCTCAATTGCTTGATTAAATTCCCCTCCCAGAGGTGTTGGCCCAGGTCCCCAGTATTGCAGCCTTTTACTCACAAACGTTTTAGTATGTGTCCCTAGAAGATAAGAACTTAAAACACCTGTCCACGGTGAGATGGTTAGTCTTGCTTGTCCTTGAGAAACATGAAGTCCCTGGGTTGTGTGTTTCTAGGGGTCTGTCCTGAGCGTAAGCATGTGCTGCACTAGTTTAAAAGGCCATTGTGTAATGTCACAGTCAGTACCAGACTCATTTACTCCTTGTTAATTCATTTTTTCTGAGATGTCATTCATGAAGCAATCTCTGCCAGGAGAGTTACTATTCCTCGGGGTCTGCGATCTCCCAGTGGTTTTCGTTTTGTTTGTTTCAATGTTATTTATAGATATTATTTTTACATTTTCCTTCTGTCAAACTCCTCACACCCAGACTGCATCACTCCCTTTCTATGAACCACTTTCCCCTTACACAGACTAGCTCCACACCATCCTCTTCACCATCACAGCTTCAGACCTCTCAGCCTCTGCCGGTGACGCTCAGGACCAACTGAGTGGGGATATACAATGTGTATCTCTCAAAGTCTGACTTACTGCGCACAACATTAAGTCTTCTATATTCATTCGTTTTGATCAAACAATAGTCTCATTGTTTCTAATAGCTGAGTAATATTCCATAGTATATATGTGCCACAGTATTTCAACCCAGTCATCGGTTTGGGGGCACTTCGCTTGGTTCCATGCCTTAGTGATTGTGAATAATGCTTGCAATAAACATGAATGTGCAAGTGTCTTTCTGGTTGATTGTTTTCCTATCCTTAGGTAAATACCAATAAGTGTAATAACTGGGTCATATGAAGTTCTATTTGCAGATTTTTTTTAATAATTTTAAAAATAATTATTTATTTAATTTTATTTATCATTCAGTTGTTAAAATTTGACCAGAGAGAGAGACACAGAGAAAGAGAAAGAGAAAGAGAAAGAGAAAGAGAAAGAGAGAGGGACCAGCAGTTAGTGTAATGGCTATGTCGCTGGACTCCCATGTAGTCGACTGTGGTTCGAGTCCCGGACCCGGTGGCTTAAACTCACACCAGACACGTGTGCATGTGTGCCCAAGATCCCAAGAGGAGAATGGAGGAGAAGCGATAGTGGCGTGGCCATCCCTCCTGGGGGGTGATTTCTCACTTTCTGTCTCTTTGTCTTTCTCTGTCTTTCTGGCGAGCGCAAGAACCCTATAGCAAAAACCTCTCCAAAAAAAAAAAAGAAAAAAAAGAAAGAGAAAAAGAAAGAGAAAGAAAGCAAGCCACCAGGTCCAGTACTCGAGCCATGGTTAGCCATGTTGGTATGCCCAGCACTTTAACCACCATGCTACCTGCTTGTCCTTATTTGTAGATTTTTGAGAAACCTCCATGTTGTTTTCCACAGAGGTCGTATTAATTTACATTCCCACCACAGCCTGGTCAGCACTTGTCATTTTTACTTGTTTTTACGCTAGCTATTTTAACAGGGTTTAAATGCTATCTCACTGTGGTTTTAATTTACATTCCCCTCATGACAACAGACTTTGAACATCTTTTCATATGCTTCTTGGTCACTTCTAAATCTTCCTTGGTGAGTTGTCTATTAAATTCATTTGCTCATTTTTAAAATTGGATTGTTCATTTTTTATGTATGAATTACTTGAGTTTTCTCTATATTCTGGATATCAATTCCTTTTCTGTAAAATAATTTGTAAATGTTTTCTCCTATTCTAAGCGTTGTCTTTTCACTTTAATTATTGTTTTCTTTGCTCTGAGAAAGCTTTTCAGCTTGGTATAATCCCACTTGTTTATTTTGGAGACTATTGCCCATGCTGTACAGGTCTTATTTAAGAAATCTTGGAGCCAGCGGGTGGCACAGTGGTAAAAGGGGCTGAACGCCCACATAACTGACCACAGTTCAAGTCCCAGATCTGGCAGCTGGCTTTCTCATTCTTTCTCTCTCTTTGTGTGTGTGTCTCTCTCTCTGTCTCTCTCTGGTCAAATTTTAAAAATAATAATAAAGTTAAATAAAATAATAAGTAAAAAAAAATCTTTAGCTACTCCAATATTTTCAAGTTTCTCCTATGTTTTCTACTAGTAGTTCTTTTTTTAATTATTTTATTTAACTTTATTTATTTATTTATTTAGAGTTTGACCAGAGATGGACAGAGAGCAAGAGAAAGTGAGAAAGCAGGCCACCTGGTCCAGGACTCGAACTATGGTTGGCCACATGAGAGTCCAAAGCCCTTAGCCACCATGCCACCTGCTGGCCCCACTACTAGTAGTTTTATAGGTTGAGGCTTTACATTTAAATCTTTGATCCATTTTGAGTATATTCTCTCTTTTTTTTACAAGAATTATCTATTTAATTTTTATTTATTCATTCATTTATTTAAATTTGACCAGCGAGAGACTCAGAGAGAAAGAGAGACACAGAGAAAAGGAAGGAAAAGTGAGGAAGCAGGCCACCAGGTCCAGGACTCCAAACACAGCCAGCCATGTGGGAGTGTTCAGCGCCTTAACCACCACACAACCTGTTGGCCCTGAGTCTGTTCTTGTTAAAGGTGAGAATTAGGCGTCCAGTTTCATTATTCTGTGGGTGAATATTGAGTTTTTCCAGTAGCATTTGCTGAAGACTCCTTTTTCTCCACTGAATTGTCTTGTACCCCTTGTTAAGGACCAATTACCTGTATGATTTAGGGTTTACTTCTAGATCCTCTATTCTGTTCCATTGGTTTGTGTCTATTTTTGTGCCAGTACCATGCTGTTTTGATTATTAACACTTCGTAATGTATTTTGAAGTCAGGAAGTGAGATGCATCCTATTAATTCTTTTGGCACAGTATTGCCTTGGTGATACAATCTTTTATGGTTCCAACAAATTTGTAATTGTTTTTTCTATTTCTGTGAAGAATGTCTTGGGTAACTGGGTCAGAATCAAATTGAACTTGTAAAATAATTTTGGTAGAACTGAAATTTTGATTATATTGATTCATCCAAGCCAAGAGCTTAGGATGTTTTTCCATTTCTTCATATCATACTCAATTTTGTTTTTTGGTTTTCGTAGTTTCCTTGTAGAGATCTTTCATCTCTTTGGTTAGGTTTATGCTATTTTTTTTTTTTTAGAGGTTTTTGCTATAGGGTGCATGTGCTAGCCAGAAAGACAGACAGAGACAGAGAGACAGAAAGCAAGAAATCACCCCCCAGGGGGGGATGGTTACGCCCCAATCCCTTCTCCATTCTCCTGTCAGGATCTTGGGCACATACTCACACACACCTGGTATGAGTTTAAGACACCAGGTCCCGGACTTGAGCCGTGGTTGACTACATGAGAATCCAGTGACGTAGCCATTACGCCATCTGCTGGTCCCATGTCTAGTATCTTATTTGTTTTGTGGTTATTGTAATAGGATTGCTTTCTTCCGTTCCGTCTGGGTCTGTTTATTGTGGATGTATAACAATGTTCCATGTTTTGTATATTGACTTTGTGTCCTACTACCTTACTGAATTCCTTTATCACTTCTAGGAGTTATTTCGTGTATTCCTTTTGGTTTTCTATGTATATAACCATATCATTTGCAAAAAAGGACAGTTTAACTTCAACTTTGTTTCCACCTGAATGTCTGTTAGTGTGCTCTCTTGTCCGAGTGCATTGACTAGGACTGGCAGCACCATGCAGAACGGGGTAGAGTAGGCGGCCTTGTATTGGGCCAGTGTTTTCTGGGAAAGCTCTCAGCTTTTCCTCAGTCAGCATGACCTTTGCAATGGATCTAGTATATATGGGTTTATGATATTAAGGAATATCCTTTCTACCCCTATTTTACTGAAAATCTTGATAATGAAAGAATGTTACATTTTAATCAAATGCTTTTTCTGCATCTATAGATATAATCATATGATATCTTCCTTTCTGTTAATATTTATTGTTTTGTGTATGTTGAGCCATCCAGCTTACCTACCAGGTCATGGTGTAAAATTTTCTTAATAAGCTGTTGGATTCCATTGCTAGCTCTTGTTGAAATTTTTTGCATCAGTAGTCATCAGGGATATCGGTCTGCAGTTTTCTTTTTTGTTTTGTTTTGTTCTCACCTGGCTTGGATATCAAGATGATAGAGGCTTCATGCAATGAGTTTGGGAGGATTCCTTCCTTTTGAATCTTTAGAAATAGTATAAAATGGGACCAGCAGTTAGTGTAATGGCTATGTCGCTGGACTCCCATGTAGTCGACCACAGTTCGAGTCCTGGACCCAGTGGCTTAAACTCACTCCAGGCGCATGTGTGTGCGTGCCCAAGATCCTGAGAGGAGATTGGAGGAGAAGGGATTGTGGTCTTGCTTTCTGTCTCTCTGTCTCTCTCTGTCTTTCTGCAAGCACACGCGTGCTATAGTAAAAACCTCTCCCCCCAAAAAAATAAAAAGAGGAAAGAAATAGTTTAAAGATAGTTGGAGTTAGCTCTTCTTTAAAAGTTCTGTAGAATTCGGAATTGAGGCCATCTGAACCTGGGCTTTTGTTGGGAGACTATCGCAGATTCGATCTCATCACCTGTCATTGGTCTATTCTGGCTTTCTATTTCATCCTGCTTCAACCTAGGTAGCTTATACTTATGCAGAAATCTGTCCATATCATCTCTGTTTACTAATTTGTTGGCATGCAATAGTTTATAGTATTTTCTCCCGACTTTTTGTATTTCCGATATAAGTTGTAATATTACCTGCTACCGATTTTTTAAATTTTATTAATTTTTATTATTGTTTTTAATTTGCTATGGTCACCAGAGAGAGGTAGGGGGAGAGAGAGAGAGAGAGAGAGGGAAAGTGAGAAAGCAAGCTGCCAGGTCTGGGACTCGAACCACAGTTGATCATGTGGGAGTCTAGTGCTTTAACCACTATGGCATGTGTTGACCCTCATTACTGATTTTATCTGGTTCCTTTTTCGATTTTTCTCGATCAGTCTAACTAATGGTTTATCAATTTTGTTTTTTTTTCCTCTCAAAAAAATCAGCTTTTCATTTTGCTTATTTTTTTGTATAGTTCTTTTATTCTCTATTTCGTGTATTTTGGCTCTGATCTTTACTATTTCTTTGCTTCTTTTATTTTGGGGTTTTGTTATTGTTGTAGTTGTTACTTTTCCAGTTCCTTAAGATGCAATGTTATTTATTTGCCACTTTTCTACTTCCATCTTGTGAGCACAAGTGGTAATAAATTTGCTCTTATGATTCCTTTCACTGTCTTCCAAAGG